CTACATATTAATTATTAAACGTATATTGTTTTATTGTATACATTGATTTCATCCAAGCATGGATTTCTTGTTACACCCCCCAAACCCCTGAACATAGTTCTCATGATTCTTATTATGACAAAACAATAATTATATCTAATTACTAAGCATGCATTACATCTAACAATCATATAATTTTTCATATAATAATCACACAGGTGCAGTGCAGTTTCACATGATCTAGCAAAGACAAGGTCTAATATTTTTCCAGGGCCTACCCGTAACATTTTCCCAGGTCCTACCAAGCTCAACTCCCCAAATTCTCACGATTTTAGAAACCTTTTACTATCAGAATAACTTCACTTTCATACTCACTTCCTCATTCCTCTTTCAAAGACAACGCTAATGAACTTACTCGAATTGCTCAGGTTTGTTGCTTTCTAGACAAACTCTAGCGTATCTGTATTTGAATAAAAAACGGATGGGTGTGACCTATGGACGGTTAAGGTCACTAAGTATGCAATTCTTAAGCCTGCTAATCTTCCTCCTTCTTAGCAGCTACATCTTTATCAGCTTTTCAACATTTTTCTGTTGATAGTCTTAACCCAGTACTGATTTTCCATGCTTTTCTCACAAAGCTTCAAAGTATGTATACAATTCAATATAAGTAAATTTATTTTCTTGCTTTTAGATGGAGACTTGTAGAACCGTTAAGGTTGGAAAAGACCTCCAAGATCATTGAGTCCAACCTTGACCAAACTAAACCACTGCACTAAGCATCATTTCAGTAATTTCTTGAACACTTACAGGGATGGTGACTCCACCACCTCTCTGGGCAGCTCATTCCAACGCTTGATAACCCTTTCAGGTAGAAATTCTTTCTCTGTCTAACCTGAACCTCCTCGGGTTCAACTTAAGGCCATTTCCCCTTGTCCTGTCACTAGCTGCCCTAGGGGAAGGGGCCAATTCCCACCTTGTTACAACTTCTTTTCAGATAGTCACAGTGATAAGGTCTCCCTCACCAGCCTCTTTTTCCCCAGTTTCCGTAGCTCCTCCCCATAAAATTTGTGCGCCAGACCCTTTACCAGCCTCATTGCCCCTGGACATTCTCCAGCCCCTCAATGTCTGTCCCACAGTGAGTGACAGGTCCAGAAATGAGCACAGGATTTGAGGTGCAGCCCCAGCAGCGCCAAGCACAGAAAGACAATCCCTGCCCCGGTCCTGCTGGCCACACTGTTACTGATTCAGGCCAATTGACCTTTTTGTCCGCTTGGGCACAGCTGGCTCATGTTCAGCTGCTGTCACTAGCGCTGCCAGGTCCTTTTCCAGGCAAACTGACCCCTACAGCTTGTGCTGTCACATGGGATTGTTGTGCCCCAAGGGAAAGACCTAGCACCTGGTCTTGTTTAACCTCATCCAGTTGGCCTCTTAATTCTGCTTACTGTTGTAACTTCATTTGAATTTCCTCCACTAGTCATTATTTAATGTACCTGTAAGTACCACTGCTAGCCAAATTGTTTAGGTAGTGGATCTATCACAAGCCAAGGCTGCTCATAAGTAAGCAATTTTAGTTTTATACATATATTTGCTAAATTCATAGTTGGATGTGAGAAATGGTTTCATTTTTTGATAAAAATATTTGTGGTATCTTCTCATGGACAAACACTCAGCTAACATATTCTTTAATAAATTCCACATTATTTATGAAAGTATTATCTCATGCTAAATAGGTAAAGAACAAAAATAGATTTTGGTGTTAGATGGCATTCCATGTCTATTTAAAATAAATGGGAACTTAGTGTAAATGTTGGCCATGAATTTTGTCTCACTAAGTTACTGGTGATCTTTTCTGTTTCTCAAACCCTTGAGATGAATTTGCCAATCATAAGACCAGGAATAAAGAAGAAATCTATACTCTGAGGAACATAGTTTTAAAGCAGACTCTATTTTTTGGTAACTTTCATCACTATAACTTCATGTAATTTAGAATTTAACTCTATTACTGGATGCAAACAAATATTCTGAAGACCAGAAAAACAAGTATTTACAAAATCCTTGGGAACACCAAGCTCTTCTAATTCCTTAGCAAGTTGGATAATGGATGGATAGAAAAATTCTAACACAGTTTTGAGTATTAGAAAGCATGTTGGTCACCTGGGGGACCATTCCTCCATTTGAGTGCCCTGAGAATTGAATGAAGAGAGTTTTTGTCATACACACTGATTATATATTAATTAGCTATCCTCACTTACTTGACTTTATTTGACATAATCATACCCCTTATCAGAAGTTTTCATCTGATTCTTTGGGATCTGTCTTCAATGTCCAGTGTCCTTTCTGTGTGGCTGCTCCTTGACCTCTGCTTCTGGGTAAGCGCAATACTGTTGTTCTGTACAACTTCTACTTTGCCAGCCTTGTAGAGCTGAGCTGGCATCCTGCTTGTGTTTTGCATGACTTCTGTTTGCCTAGGTTACATCCTTATTTATGTCTCCAAAGTTGTGCTGTTGTGTTTTACTGTCCTTGGTAAGATCAAATGTTCTGTTCTACTGTTTTTCTCTAGAGGCTGTTACATCTGCTCATATGTTATCGCAGAGGCATTACCACCACTGTTGATGGGACTGGCCTTGGCCAGTGGCAGGTTCCTCTCAGGGCCATCTGTCATTGGCTCTGTCAGACACTGAGGAAGCTTCTAGGAGCTTATCAGAGAAGCCATCCCTGCTACCAAAACCTATCCAGGCAAGCCCAGTATGGATATACAGCATAAAACCTGTCACTAACACAAGTCCGATCAAAGTTTCATATGAAAGTAGGAGATCTGGTGTGGAATTCCACACACAACGTATAAACCAGCTATAGAAGAGTGAAACAATCATTCTAGAATAAATTATTCAGAAGTAAGCATACTGTACTATATGAGACATATAAGAAATCCATAACCATAGTAACGTGACAAAAGTGCTGGTCAGTTCCACACAAAAATAAAAATTGAAGTGAAAACTTAATTCCTGTTATACTTATACAGATCTGTTGCATAGTAAGATTAACATATAATATGAATTTTTAAAAATTATGTCATTCTCTGGGTAACTATTAATTTTCATCTAAGAAACACTGTTATTCTTATTAAATACTCAAGGATGGCCAGCCCTAGTCACATGGCTACTGTGAAAACCCATTCTTAGAGGTCAAGCAACATCAATAAAATTCCTCCTGACGTTTCAAGACTCCTCAAACATACTAGATTTTAGTGAGACAAGAGGTAGGAAGAGACTCTTATAGATTACAAGAGCCTTCAATGAACTGAGACAATTAACCAGGACAGTTTCACTCAGGAGAATCTGTCTCCAAAACAGTGACAACCATTAAAGCCTGCAATTATCTTCTCAGTGAAAACAGTATTAGGCCCTACTACAGACAGTGATGGGTTATGATTTGTGTCCCTTAAATACCACAGAAATACCACTTTATTTCCTAAAAAAAGTGTATTCTCCTCCCTAAAACCACTTATAAGATTTGCTTCTGCCTTGCAAGTATCATCTAGCCAATTTAACAGTATTCTATGGCTTGCAGTCTACATGCTATTAAAAATGAAAACCATCAATTGAATAAATTAAAAGAATACTGGCTTCTGCATTTTGTATCAGATTTGGAAAGAAACATGTGTCACAGCAGAAATTAGACTATTAACCACATTTTTTAAAACTTTCTTCTGAATACTACATAATTTTAAAAATTACAGAATCTTTAGAACCTTGTCCATAGTGTGAATGACAGTATGAAGGAACGTATCTCAGTGAAATATAAACAAAATAGAATGCAAACAGCAGCTTTGTCTATTTATAAAAATCACAAACTAATTTACAGATTTTCAGAAGGAGTAGCTATAATTTGGAATACTTTTCCTTCTCTTCCTACAAAAATCACATTGTCATTAACATGTGTAGAATCTCTTGTGCTTCCTTCCCTCATTATAAAGAAGAATAAATCCTATAAACCACAAGCTGTCGCCTTCCTCCCTCTGGTCAGGACAGCTGCATGCCCTGTGAATTACAAAAAAAATTAAGACATTTGCACTCCAGGTTTAACTGTATCTGTGTGTAGCAGCGCTCTGTCTTAAGAAAGTCCATGCAACACCAGCAGAACACAACACATTTGAATTATGTTCAAGTACCAGGACCTCCCGGATCACAAATTGTAGCTGGTATTTAGAGTCCATGTGATAAACAGGCTTATTTCACCTGCTATTGTAGTGCAGCAATCCAGACATATAAGGAATATGTTAGGCACAACCTACTAAAGTGCTTAAACATTCGTTTAACTTAAAAGTTCGACAACATCCATAATTAGGGAAGCCTTCATTATGATGATTTTATTGCTGAGCTTTTGAAAATTTTCAGCTTTTGAAGTAACACCAAGAGCAGTGTCTGAAATTTCCTGAAAGGAGATTATACAATACTGCCACTCTCTGTCAGAGAAAACTAAAACACAACAAAACCAAATAGACGTAGAGACAATTTGATGGAAAGAAATCAAATAACTTTCCCGTATAAGAGATTTTTAGCCCCACCTAATGGTCGGAAAGGAAAAGGTTTTCTGTACGCTACACAACCACTGTTTGGAGAAACAACTGAATAAGGTGCATCCAAGTAATAAACACAATTATATCAAAATAACACTATAAGTAGAACTTACAGCAGCAATAACTAAGAAACACCAGCAATTTTACCTCATGCATTCAACAGCTAATGGATTTTTGCTACCCTTGGAACTAGATCAATGGCATCATGGTAGTTTCCAAAGAACAGAGAACACTCTGATTGTTGCTGCATTTGTACATTAAATAATGGAAAGGTACTTTGTGTGTAAAGACTGACAGCACTTGAGTGAACTACCTGAAACTACACTGATGAAGATCATATGTAATTTTTTTTTTGCTGAAGCTTTGTTCCATACTGTACCAATAATTCATGTAACATGCATTCTCCAGATAAAACCAAAGCCCTTCACGCATGTTCAAAGATCTATGTGCTAACTCATTAGGTACTTGCAGGTATGTTTTTTTTTTTTTTTTTTACTAGGTATGAACCTACAGCACAGCCCATTAGATCAATTCAGTGACATCCTGCAGATCAGGTTGGTGGGGTTTTTTTCAATGTAGACATGGAAAAATTCTGTATTTACTACAGTGGATATAATTAAAAACACCTTTCTTCCACATTTTGAGAAACACAATGTGAAAGTACCTTAGGCTGGATAAGGATTCTTATAGCATATAATCCTGTTTGAATAATCCTATGAACACTGCAATATGTAATAAGATACAAAAATTTCTCCCAAAGCACTATAAATTACTAAGGAAGGTTTCAAATAAAGGTTTGTCTTTTTCCAAAAAATAATTCTGGTCTCAGGCTTATAATATACAAATCATCCATACTTTTACTAAGACATACACAGATTACCTCCAATAGTACACCTTTTAGTCCTATGGTATGTTCTTCTGGTTCTAGATACTGTCAGCAAGTATGGGCAGATTTGGTCTTTACTAAAAATTTTCTATGGAAGACTGGAATACAGCTGAAATGGAAATTCCAAGTAATTTGTGTAAAAATAGCAATAAAAACCCCAAACAACAACACAGATGAGAGGAAAACCAGCATTAAATATACAAGAGGAATGAGTAGACCCTAAAAAGTAGATTAACATGTCCTAACAGAATTACATTTAATAGACCAAATTCTTAGTTTGCTCAGAATTAAGGAGAAATCTTGCTGTCCTAAATAAGCTACTTCAACTAAACTTTTATTAGATTTTTCAAGAAAAATATGTTTTAATTATTTTGTGGTTGTTGTTTTATCAATTTTTTTTTATTATAGCATTGCTTTAAAAAATGGCTATTCTGCAAAATGTCATAATAGAAATACATGAAACTGTGGAATACATAATACTGATTTCATGTTAAGACATTTGTGTTCCAGTGATCCAGTTTCTAATCACAGTCAAGCGCCTTCATTTTTTTTTTTAATATGTTAAGCACCCCTTTGTTTCTACAGTTTTGCAAATAGGAAAGCCTGGTTTCTTTGGAAATGTATGTATTTTAGTGTATGAATAGGCAGTTTTAGACTTTATGCTACAGTACACAGCTATTCTGAAATTCATTGATATTAATATCGGTGCCCATGTACTAAATTGTTTATATACACTTGTAAGGTAAAACACCAGAGGAACAGCTTCTGCTATACAACAGTATCTGGTTATGAGCCTTTAAAGCTCTATATAAAGTATTTATCACTCTATTGTTTTAAATATAGTCAAAATAACAAAAATCATAGCCTAAATGGCCATGCTCTCAGTTACATCCAGTTGTGCTTGGGCAACATGTTAGCAAGGCTGACTACTCTATCAGGCAACTGTTTTGGAACTAATTCATATAAGTGTTTTTCACCCAGTGCTAACTATGTTTATTCTTGCTGTTACTCTTTCTGTTTGTAAAATAACTTCTGCTTTCACACAATTTGAGGAAAATCTTGTTTTTATGTGCTTGGATTATCTCCAACTGAAACAAAAATTTCACAGGGTTTTGCAATGTTCCACTATGGAACAGTAAAATGAAGTCTGAAAACATTGTTCTAGCAGAGAAATATTTTTCTGTTTGAATACTAGGTTTTTTAGTTAATCAGTAGTAATATAAAAAAGCTTAGTTAGTCAGTAGTAACATAAAAAAGTTAACACTTTTGATGTGTTTTTATCCTGATATTGCAAAATGTTTCAGAAACTATTATTTATATAATATTATAATTAGCATTGAGAGACTAAGGAATTCATAAAATGTAGTTAAAAATCCTGGGGGAAGAAGTGGAAATACAGGGCCTATGTGATATGCTCTGGCTACTAGATTTTCCTGTTGCCTGAAAATATATAAATGAACAGTGTGCATTTGGAACATATCTGCACATTTTGCCATCAAATAGCACTGATTTGATCATACATCTAGTCTTTCTCTTTGTTATGTGATACGTTACAAATTTAGGAAACAAGTGGAGAACCACAACAAAGATTCAGGAAAAAATGTACAATGAGAAATTACTCTTGTGAAAAGAGTGAAGCGAAATACATGGAGCAAAGAGAATACAAACTTCTAAGGTCATGAGTGCAACCACCATCTATGGCACGCTGCAGAGAAGTCTGTTTATTTACTTGGTGATGAAAGGCTGAGTCACTCCTGAGCCAATGGGCACGGTAGCATAGGCAGATAGCCAACCTAATTTCTCACTCATCTGACGCCAGAAATATGTTACAAGGTCATTCCCTCCAGCTTTCTCAGGCTAGAGATAGAAAACCTGAACAGAGAGACCTCTGAGAATGCTGAAGTCTTTTATGTTCAAATGACACCACCATTAGCTCAGGAATGAAAAGGGCTAGACAGCATCCATGTAGCTAACTGTTTACCTGCAGGGTCCTGCAAGAGAATCACTTCTTTACTCTGGGATGCTCCAGTAGGATCAAATATTATATTTCTGTATACAAACGAGCCTCTGTACATAGTCTATTGTCCTATCTCAATTCCCATTCTTTTCCCTGTAAAGTACCTAATAAATGAAAAGGAACTGTGAAAGGGAAAAAAAAAACAAAACCAAAAGTACACACCCATTTGCTGTGTTTACAAATGCTCTGGAACATGGGACCCAACGCCATTAGTCACACTGAGTGATTATTTTTCCCCTTGAGATAGGGTCTCAGATAAATGCTTCCAGGATTAAAATCTTAAAGAGTGGACTTTACTAAATCCACTTAGCTTTTAAGTTCACTTACACCAAATGTAAATAGGGTCTTTTAATAGAAACCCTAACTGTCTGGATAAGGCAACTCTACCTGCTGCCCCACACATCAAATAGTACTCACCTGCTTCCACTGTGACTAGAACTACTGTGAGTCTCCAACTACTTTTCAAAGGTACTTTCTGAAGACCTCATTAAGTAGACTGAGTGGCTTGGGAAGGGGGTGCTCTTACTAACACCCTTGCTAGGGTGCTTTCTTGCTAGGAAAACAAAGCCTTTGTTTTGATGTCTTTGTGGTATATGTGGAGCCACAAGAAAGCTAAACCTGTGCTTTTTGGCCTCCTCAATTGGCTTGAAGCTTTTGTGGAATCACAGCCTGTGGTTAACTCTCAGGAAGAAACACCCTCATGTATTCCCAAGTGAGTTAACTGATGCCATGTAGCTCCCAGACACCTGGGCTCTTAGCCAAAGACCCTCACAACAGTAGTCCCCAGCCTACATCCCTACTCTCTTTCCAGAGAGCATTTTGCTCTCCCCTAGTGTAAGAATTGTTGCTTCTTTAATTCTTAAACTAAAATAGCAATAGAATTATAATGATAATGTTTATGTTTACTTGCCTCCACCTCCTTTTCTCTTGTGTCCTGTTTTGCTTTTTTTCATCTTTGCAGGATCATGCCCATTTCCAGCAATATCTCTGAGATTCAACAAGGAACATCCTGTTAATATTGACAAGGTCTAACTTCTTTCTGTTAAGCGTGGATAGAATGACAAATTAATTCGTTATGCATTCCCAGTCACTGCTCAGAGGACCAGTTAAAGACCAATTGGGTGGACCTATTTTATAAAATAAATAGGCTAAACATTGGATTTAATAATAGATGTTGAAGCCTAGAAAATTTACTATTGCTCATATCGCCTTATTTAAACTACACATAAATAAACAATGCTGCCCCAAAAAGCATCTAGAAATTAAATATCAACCTTTCACATCTGAGTTTCATATAATCAGGATGTCTTGGGTTGGAAGGGACCTTAAAGATCATCTATTTCCAAACACCCTGCAACAACTTCCATTAGAATAGGTTGGTCAAAACTCCATCCAGCATGTCCATAAACACTTCTAGGGATGGGGCAACCACAATTTCTCTGGGAAATCTGTGCCAAGCCTCTCACAGAAAAGAATTTCTTCCTAATATCTAATCTAAATCTGCTCTCAGTTTTAAGTTGCTCCCCCTTGTCCTGTCACTAGATGCTCTTGTAAACAATCTCTTTCCATCTTTCTTCTAAGTTCCTTTCAGGTGCAGGAAGGCCATAGTTAGGTCATCCTAAAGTTTTCTCTTCTCCAGGCTGAGCAATCCAAATTCTTTCAGCCTGTTCTCTTAGGAGAGGTGCTTCATGACTCATCTGAACTCTCTCCAACAGGTCCATGTCCTTCCTGTGCTGGATGCAGCCCTGCAGGTGGAGTCTCAGCAGAGCAGAGGGGCAGAATCCCCTCCCTGCTGCCCACGCTGCTTTGGATGCAGCCCCGGACGCGTTTGGATTTCTGGGCTGTGAGTGCCCATGGCTGGGTCATGTCCAGCCTCTCATCCGCCTGCTCATCTGTTCATCTTCAAGTCTGTATTTATGCCAGGGATTTCCCCAACCCAGGCGCAATTTGCATGACATTATATTCCAGACATTATTTTGTTTCTTCTCTTTAAATTAATATGTCCTATTTAGTTTTTGTGAAGGTACCTACTTATTTCAATCATGTCAACCCGGATCTTTCTATAAACTGAGCAAGTTTTTGCTCAAGAAGAAGAGTTTTCTCATTCCAAGAAGTGAGTTTTCTTGGAAAATGAATAAAAAATGTGGTTATATTACTAAAACCAGCCATTAAGATGTAAGGAAGTACCTACAGTTAAGAAGTCAGGATTAGGGAAGTGAGGGACAAAGTGAGCCAGCATAAACTGACCTGAACTTTAAAACAGCATTTATGTTCAGAGAAGTTCCTATTAGGACTGAATCAATTATCTCAGCAATTACAGGTGGATCAAAAATTACACAAAACACAAATCTGAGTGTACTGTCTTTTCTGCCTTTTTGCTCACATGGGTTGATCAGTCAGGCTCAACACGGAACAGCATAGAGAATCTTCTGTGAGTATAGAGAAGTGACTGTTGTATGACAGCTAACCCAGGAACCTGCTAAAAAAATACAGAGCCAGATCTAACAGCAAAAAGCAGACAGAAATGAGTCCTAGCAAAAACAGGCATTGCAACAAGCTTGTGCTTTCAGAAACCCCCATTTTCTACATGCAGCCAAAACCAAGAGGTATCATGGTCAGTAAACTTTAGCAGAAATAACATTTTTTTCCCAACTACTGAGGACTTATGTAAGAAATAATACTTGAGGGAATCATAAACATTTGAAAACAATTCTAAGACCTCTTGCCTTCTAAGCGGGACACAAAGAGACTCCAACCAAAAGCTTTTACAAGGAAAGGGAACATGATATTTTTCAGAAAAATATACTGAGAAAGCCTTTGGAAGATAAATATCTCAAAAAATCCTGCCACATTTCATGCAGAAAAGATCAAGATAGCCAGATTTTTAAGAGTGATTAATTCCAAAGTATTCTCAAATTTAGGCCAGTATTTTAAGTAGCATACATAATTCATTTAAAAATAATTAATAAAAAGAAAGGCATCCTTACCCTCCCCTGCTGGTATTCATGAAGACCTTTCAGCAAGAATAGCCTGACTTAGGTTTTGATCTCATTACAGTGACAACTAGCAAAAATTTATAATACTGGATTGAAACCCTGACACTTTCAGACAATATGATGGTTTTTCAACAGACAGGTTTGCTGAAATACAGTTGCCAATTACAGGATACATGTTTTAAGCTGAAGCTATATATGACAATGATTTTATATTTATCCCATCTTTATATGTCACTGATTAAATGACTAAAGCCAGAGAGAGCTTGTGAATCTTCAACTGCCACCCATACCATATAATCTGAGCAAATAAATTGTGAAACCATTACCAGCTACACAAAAAGAAGAAACACTCGCATTCAGTGCTTTCTGTCTGACATGGATTGCAGAACACAGGTATAGCTGTTCAAAAGTAAAGTGATCAGATCTTCCATGTATTACAGTGATAGCATTACCTCACACAGTCTTTAACAGATTGCGATCAGCAGAACTCCCTGGGGCAGCAGACAACATCCCTTTATTCATTTTCACTACCCCCTTTATAGACCCAACTCCTACTCCATCTGTCAGTTCCAAAAGCCAGAGAAGATGAAGTGGTCTCTGATGTAATTTCCATAATTCATATGAGTGCAGGCAACCACAAGATTAAGAAATCTGAAAAGGCAAGGCATTTTTATTCCCAAGCACTCAAAATAAACAAATTATTTGCTTCAATGAGTTTGAATGATCAGGCCTACCTGGAGTATAAATTTGGCAATTAGTGATTAATCAAAGTCAAGGCAATTTTTGAAAACTATCCAAAACTACATTGAACAGGTGGAGATTTTTTGCTACTCAGATATAAATTAAACAGAATAAATAAAATTCTTAAATTATTGGTCTTCAGGGTCAGTACCAAGCTGCCTGACACATGCATGATTTAGAGGATTATTTAAAAAAAACCTGATGCTTAGATCATCTGATTTGGTTAAAAGACAAAAAGGGCAGAAGGGATCCAGAAATTCATGGCATTCCAGGAAAAGAACCACAACCCACTACTTCTTTAGATGCACAGATCAGAACTAACCTCCCTTGGGTGAAATAGGCTCAGGACCGTGTAAATTAACTGCCTTTCTCTTTGCCTCATTCTTTCCTTTGGGTAGGTGGAATGTAAGGATGGCATGAACAATACCATGATTAAGTGCTACCAAAAGTATAGTCATCTCAATTTTTATGGCAGGTCTACTACACAGTGACTTTTTAGGATACTTTTTTCAATCAAGAATTCAGAAAAAAAAATGAAAACATTAAAACACCCCTTGAGCTTCCTAGTCAGTTATTGAGTAAAACCAGAATAGTGGAACACCTGATGGATTTCAGAGTTGCTGAGAGGTGGTAGAAATCTGCAGCCAGAAAGGAAGACACCTTAGGGTAGAACCAAATAGATTCCTATAGTATAGTTTATCTTGGAAGGGACCTACAACAATCATTTAGTCCAACTGCCTGACCACTCCCAGGCCGACTAAAAGCTTAAGTCCTTTATTGATGCCAACATCCTAAGCCCTCTCAAACAGTGACAGGCATTGACCACTTCTTTAAGATGTGTTTGACCACCCTCTTTGTAAAGAAATGTTTCCACTGATCAGTCTAAACCTTCCCTAGGGCTGCTTTGAGTCATTCCCATACATCCTGTTGCTGGGTCCCAGGGAGAAAAACCCAGCACCCCTCTCTCCACATCCCCTCCTCAGGCAGCTGTTCAAGGCAATAAAGTCATCCCTCAGTCTCCTCTCCTCCAAACTAGACAAACCCAGAGTCCTCAGCTGCTCCTCATAGGACATTCCTTCCAGCCCTTTCAACAGCTTTTTTCCTCTCCTCTGGACCATTCCAGGACCTTCCCACCCTTCTCAGACAGTGGGGCCTAGCACCATCCACAGCAGGGTGAGACTGCAGCAGGGCTGAATCCAGCAGGATGATCCCAATCCCAGCTGGTGATGCTGTGTCTGATGCTCTCCAGGATGGGGTTTGCCCTCCTGGCTGCCCGGGCACACACTGCTGGCTCAGCCTGAGTTGCTGCTGACCAGCACCCCCAAATCTCTTTTGCAGGGCTGTTCTACACACACTACTCTCCCAGTCTGTACTTATGTCCAGTGTTCCTCCAGCCCAGGTGCTGAATCTGGTATTTGTTCTTGTTAGACATGACACTGATTATTTTCCAATGCTCTGATATATCCAGATTGCTCTGCATCCAAAGAGTCCCCCAAGACAGTCAATAGCAGCCCCCAATTTAGTATCATCAGCAAATATACTAAATGTGCTTTCAACTCCTGCCTCCTGATCACAGATAAAAACGTCAAACAGGACTAGCCCTAGAATTGAACCCCGAGGAACACCACTTATGAGCTGCTGTCAGCCAGATGCAGCCACACTGACTGCCACACTTTGAGCTCTGCCCTTCAGCCAATTCTTTACCCACTGCACTGTGAACCTGCTCCTCTCACTGCTGGACAACTTGTCCAGAAGGATGCTTCAAATACAAAAAACCCCATTAAAATACAGAAAAACTGTGTCTACCATCTTCATTCAAGGTAAGCTTCTCTTACCTTGTCTATACCACTACACATTTTTTATCACTCAGAAAATGTGATGAACACTATTTGGTTAAATGAGTCACCTATGAAGTGCATAGCTTCATCAGGGTAGGTAGCTGAAATGATCATGGCTATACAAGGATAAGCTGAGGTAATTTGGTCTGTTCAGCCTGGAGGAGGCTGAGGACAGTCCTCATCATACTCCACCGGTTCCTCATGAAAGGAAGTGGAAGGGCAGGCGCTGATCTCCTCTCTGGTGAACAGTGACAGGACCTGAGGGAATTATAAGATACTGCGTCAAAGGATGTTTAGATTGGATATTAGGAAAAGGTTCCTCACCCCCAGAGTAGTTGGGCACTGGTACAGGCTCCCCAAGCCTGCACCGGGCCTGACAGAGTTTAAGAAGCATTTGGACAATGCTCTCAGTTTGATCTTGCGGTTGCCCTGTATAGGACTAAGAACTGAACCTCGATGATCCTTGCGGGTCTCTTCCAATTCAGAATGTTCAGTGATTCGCCAAGTTTCCTTCCTTACTACCTTTTTCCTGGTACAGCCCAACAGCTCAGCGAAGCCGGAGCGGGGACAAGAGCCCCCCGTACCCCGGCCCGGCTGCCCGCCTGAGGGGCTGGGCCCGGCTCTCGGAGCGCCGCCGCAGGTGCCCGTGCCGCGGCCTCCGGCCGCTCCCGCCGGCGCCCCCTGGCCGCCGCAGCGCCGCTCCCGGCCCCGCCGCCACCGCCTCCTTTCGGGGCGGGCCCTGCACCGCCTGTAGGCGTCGGAGGGGGAGAAAGTAACATGGTGGCCGCTTCCTCCCCAAACGGGAGCGGTGACGGGTGCGGCGGCTCCTGAGGCAGCGGCGAGCGCAGGGCGAGGCGGCGGGGCGGGGGCAGCGGGGCCGGCGGCGCGCTCGAGGTGCCGGGGCCGGCGGCAGGTGAGCGGCCGCGGCAGGGAGGCAGGGAGGCAGGGGAGGAGGCGGCCTGACAGGCGGAGCGGGGGAGGCGGGCGAGCCGCCCGCTCCGGCGCCCGCTCCCGCCTCGGGGCGCGGCGCTCGGCGGGGAGCCCCACTCCTACCCCCGGCTACACGGCTCCTTCCTTCCCCTCTAATGTGTCCGGAGGAAACTCCCCTCCTCGCCGGACAGGCAGGGAAGTTTGGGGTGTTCCCTCTTGCCTACTCGGTCCCTGGGAAGGGCTCCTGCCCTGACCTGCCCCGGCAGAGCTTCTGCGCCGAGGCTCGTTCTTAACCCGCTCTGCGCGGCCGGGAGGGCGGAGGCGCTTTCTGGACTTTTTCACTGTGGTTATTACCATAATTGTTACTTTCCCTGCTCCCTCGCGCGTGGCCGCCCCACGGGAGCGCGGGGCTCTCCAGCGGCGCAGGTGGCAGGCGCTGCAGGTGAGTCCCGGGGCAGCTCCCTCCTGTATTTCTCCATTTTCCTCTCCCTTTCCATGCCCCGTCTCCTCCCCTAAGCTCCGGCGTCAGCGAGTTTAACCCTTACGGAGGTCTGTGCCGAACTGGAGATCGTCACCGGCTGTAGGAAGGCTGTTAACAGGGATCGTCCTGAGTCGCACTGGTATTTTGGAAGTTGGTCGTATGAGTAAGAAACTTAAAGTACTGAAGCTGTGAGAACAAGGAAAAGCTAAATGCATAACTTTTCGTCAATCTGTATTATCATCTGAGGGTACCTCCTGCGTCTTTGCTGCACAGCCAGATAGCCTATGGAGCGGAAAGATCTGGTGATATGCTAGGACTTAGTGTGTCAAATAGTGAAAAAATATTCACAGACGCTTCAAATATGATGTAAGCTGATTAACTGTGCTGTTAATGCCAAACACAGTCCTCAAAAGTATTGGTTCTGCAGTCTCAAAAGGGATGCAAAAACAGAACAACATTACATTAATTTTAAGCAATGTCAATTCTGTACCAATCTTTTTAATGTTGTTAAGATCAAACACTGCAGACACGGACTGTTGTGCTGCTGTCAAACAATACCTGTGGCTAACCTTTTTTACCTGCATGAGGGCAGGACAAACAACAAACAGGACATTTAATTTGACTTTTTTTTCTTTTTTTTTTTCCTCTAATTCGCGTTAGTGCGACTTCTCGAATATTTTCTTGGCTTACTATGAAATTTCTAAAATTCGTAGTAGTTAAAAGTTTAAGTAAATTTGAGCCTGCACATGGACATATTTATACAAAAAGGAATTATTTGCTGTTACTTCTGTTGGCTGTTTCTTCGTGTGGACCAAACACAATGTTAAAAGTTTTTGCATCACTCTTTTTGAGGTGGTATGTTAGGAGTTAGGGCAGTAAATGTTTTGTTCCTGTGGAAAAATAATGGTGGAATGCAAACTACTTCATATCTGTTTGGAACACGAAAGAATTTTTATTTGTATTTTGTTTTGAAAAGCAGTCATAACCAGACTAAAGTGATTAACCAGACTACTAACCAGCCATACTAGCATATATATTTCAAATCCTTTGCACAAAGGACACCAACTAAAACCTATAACTGTTAGATAGTTTGTGAATGTTTACATTATAAATGTGACAGTAAGTGGTTTTTAAGATTTTTAAAACTTTTTTTTAAGAATTGGCTGAATACTCTGCTTTTTACCATTTCAGTGGATATGAAATGCTAATAGTGCATGTCTGTCTTGAGCAGTGCAACAAAGTTTAGTAGTAACCAGAAATATAAATATAGTTTGCCTACATGAGTTCTGACTTCTGTATTAAAACAGTTACTAGCACAACTTGACACTGATTACTGCTTAAATATCAATGTTTGAATCTTTAAAAAAAAAAAGAAATCTTACAAGTTAAGATGGGCATTTTCACAAATACGTATGGATAAGTATAATGTTACATTTAGCTGTTTATTCTTCAGTTAAGATTGGTCCCTCCATAGCCCAAAGTAAAGTAATGACATCTTTTTGGACCATGTCTTATATATTTGTTTTTTTATTTGGAAACTGTGTGTGTGATTTCTTTCTGATAAACTTTATATAGTTTTCATTAAAAACCAATTTGAGCAAAATTGGAATATTGTATGTTGGTATGTATAGTATCCCTCTGACTCAACATATATTTAGCTCTCCTTTGGACTGATACATATTGTTGAAATACAGTTCTAGAAGTTGTATCATTTTAAGCTTAGTTCTTCTTTAGGTCTGGTTTTCACCAGTGTGGAATTGATTTTGGAATTCAATCTTGATATTAAGGAAAAAGATGTTCAGGTGTTAATTTGGACATGTCATCAGGGTTTGCTTAAAAATACAGGAGAAAAGTCTCACTAGAATTTGGTAAAAAAAGATATATTGAAAAAGTTGTAAGAAGAAGAAAAGATAGTCTTTTGACCGTTACATCTTATTGTTAAGCTTTCAGATGAATTTCACCAGCACCTGTAGGTATAGAGCCGTGTGTATAAAGTCTAGCACGTTTGGTGGCCTTCTTACTGGTTTCGAGGCCTTCTGACTGAAATAACAACAAAAAGTGCCTATAACCTGTAAATCAGGTGTATTTGTGGAAGGGTAGCTTGCCCTGTCAAAGGCTATCTTCTTCCTCTGCATGCTAGTCATCCCAAGTAAAGGATTGCCTACCTTCAGCATGCTGCTTGATTGGGTGATATTCAAAATACTGGAGATCTTGGCAGAGGTGACCTGTAAAATAGTTCTTGGGGGTCATAGTCATAGTTACTAAGTTGTTTCCCATGTGACTTGCCTGATAGTTGTCCATACTGCTTATTCAGATCTGTAAAATTAAAATCAGTTTGCTGCACTTTCATCATGAGACATGTTTTCCTCCTGTAGTGCTTCAAACAGTAAACTAATGTTTTGGGCTTTTTATCTGCTTTGGAATTTCTGGTTTGCTACAAAAATAATCCCTCTGTTGTTACCCATGGTTGTACAGAAACATGATGCTACTTCTTTCCCATCTGATAAAGAGGTGGTGTTGTTGGAAATGCTACACCCCTGTAATGATAATGAGAGTGTTTAATCTGCAAATTTGTGTGGATAAATGTTCACAGTTCTCTGTTCTTAGAAGCAAAGTGACTTAGTTCAGGACAGTTTCTGGGGTGTAATGTATTTTCTGGTGCAGTGTTACTGTTTCATGTTCACTTAATTCTTGTGCATCTGTCACAAAATGTAAGCATGTAGACTTACTTATTCTAAAGTTTCAGGAGTACAAGTTCACTGTGCTCTGCATTCCAAGGTCTGTTTGAGCAGAAAGTTTTGTCTTGGTTAGTATCTCACTTTAGCCCTTTCCTTCTGCTTACAGACTTTTTGAGGGTATGAATGTAGTCCTGGTGTTAAACTATTGATGTTTACTGTTTGCTTTGGCAGACAGGAAACTTGAAAATAGTTTTTGGAATTACTAAGATTATGATTATGGTCTTTGTTTAATCATGCAACTATTTTCTATGTTTTCCTCTTTTTTTTAACAGCATCTCAGAGTTGTTGACCAAAACAACAGTAAAAGTGTACCCACAGTTTCATGCTGAATGTTGGCTTGCATGTCATTAAACATTCCATTTGCTTTGTTTCAGTTAAATGCAGTGGGCCAGTTTTGCCTTACTCTGCTTTCATCTTTTCATTTAGTGACACTTCAGTTCCTTTCCTTTATTCTCAAAAAGTCTGTAAAGAGATTTGATGCTTTTCAAGCAAAAACCAGGAGCCTGTGTTCCTCTGCCTAAAAGATATTAAAAATAGTGTAAATCAAGGATTGATGTGCAAATTAAGTTATTCACTTCTAGCAGCAAAAGCTGAGTTTACAATTAAAAGTGTCCAAAGGCGTAGAAGCTTTCATAATTTTGAAATGAAAGTATACTCCAGTTGTGAACAAAGGGCAGGTATACCACAAAATCTAACCATTTTTTACCAAATAGGCAAAACCCTCAATGTTCTTGATTTTTCTCTGAACCAGCTCATTTCAGTGATAGCTTTTGTCTTTATAATTAATTTCAGCCTGTGATCAGTAATGCATAAGCTGAAGTCTCTTTCCTGATGTGCTGCTCTTCCCTTTTGCACATCTTTGTAATGTAGAGGAGTTGACTGCTGAAAGCAAGACTTTTTTTTCTTCCCTGTTGAGCAGCCCAGTGCTGCTGTTTCTGGTGTCACATAACGTGGCTCCAGCCCTCATGTCTGTTCTCCAGGGAAGAAGCTATACTCTCAACCAGATAAGAAACCTGACATAGATAGAAGTCTTGTGATTAAAATATCCTTCTGCTGTGTATATATATAATGTGTATATTTTTCTGCTTCAGGAAGGGATAAAAGCATGGTTGAAGTTGGGAGAAAGAGAACACAACTAGAGAGCAGCTACCTATAAGCAGCATATGAAGAAAAAGAAGTTCAAGGACTTAATGTTTCAGGAAATTCAAGAATTCAAGGCACCTGTAGTTGTATAGTTAAACCCTGAAGCTTCTGCAGGATATCCATCTTGGTCTAAGAGAAAGTTATAGAAAGGAAAAATAAAGTAACATCCTGAATCTCAGCAATAGATTATTCATTTAGTTACTCTAATCATCAAAAGGGACTATTGCAAAATATGGAAACCAGTGTGGCCAGTTCTTAACAGTTGATCCTTGGAAATAGCAGCAGCAGCTTGCCTACACTACAGAGTCATTTGTACCTGTGCTTTCACAGCTGGGCATGAGGTTTCATAATAATATTTTAGGTAATGATCCTAGTGAGAATGTAAAATTCTGGGTATCTAGCTGGATGTGGCAGAAGATTGATTTATTTGCAGGTAATGTGAGCTTAAGTATGTTGAGGTGTATTTTTTCACAGCATAGATAATACCTTTTGCAAGTTTCCTTGTAACAAAACCTAAAAACTAAGCTGTATCTTTGCCAGAGGAAATGCTTTCAAGGAGTTGCATAACTTGAGAAATATTTAATGTATGTAAAACATATGTGTCTTGTACCTGTTAGGGTGCTAAAGTTGCCAAAGATGTGACTGAAGAGCAATATTGGCAGAAGTTGATTTTAGTCTAGCAAGACTCAAGTTTCAAGGCTTTCTTCCTCCCCTATTATCCACCACCTTCTTTTTAGAGGGTAATTCAAAATGAAAGCCTAACTTTAGGTGCCCTCAATTACCAGCTGCAGCTCTTCTTCCAGTTCCTGTGGAAGGACTATGGGAAGGCTAATCCTATGAAGTTTAGTTTTCTGAACAGGTACTGCATACATTCAAGAGTAGAATTTGGATTTAGCAGGAGAAGGAAGAGTACAAGTGCTTTTATTATAAGGTTTCAAAGTAATGAAACCACTGTGATGTGGCTTGCTAGTGCTTGGAGCAGTTTGCCTCTAACAGGTCACATCCAGGTTTGTTTTCAGTTCTGAATATTCAAAGGTCAGCAGATAAAATTTTGTAACTGCATAAATGCTTTACTATTTTCTCAAAGTTTTCCTGAAACCAGAAAAAGCAAGTGTATATGTCTCCTGTACAATGT